TTTTTCATAAGAAATACATGAAACTACTAGGTACAATTGAAATCTTCTCACAATCAGTCGTCACTGATTATGAAGTAGTTCACATCAGCGCTCAAAAACTTCTCAACAAAGAATCGAGAGTAGCCTTTGACCTGTATACTTTTTTCTGTGGGTGGGAAGGTTTCGAAGGGTGGGGATTTCATTTCTTACTTCAATGTAGGCTAGAGGCAAATCATTACTAATGATCATATACTAAAACTAATGTTCAACATTTATTGTATTAATTCGTAATATATTGGAATATCCAGAGTTAATGTTTTTCGTTGTAGAGTTTTTAAATGTACCCAGAAAATGATCATTTTACTTGCATTCTAACGTTCTGATTGTTATTAAAAGAATATTTCTGTTACGAGTAACGCCTATGTAGTTTTTTTGAACTGCTGGATTACTGATGGAAAAATTTAGATGTTTCAGATTTTACATTCAAAATGTGCTGATAAGTGTTTGATTCGCCTCGTCAAAAAAAGCTATTTATTCTTTGAACGATCATCTCATAAATTTTCCTCTACAGCTATTTTCAAACCCTATTTTTAGGCGGCAGCTTAAGGTGTAAGTAAATTATGATTTCTCTGCAAAGACTGTATACCTCAGGCGCGTTCTCCAAGGAATGGCAAAATGAGGAATGAGTTTGAGAAATGACGTGAAGCGTCTCCTCCATAAGGGCGATTTTTGGATTTCATTTTTGAAAACCTGCTTCCTCCTGTTTGACCTGGCTGTGGGAGATGTTCGCTAGTAAGGCACAAGCAAGTTTCCTCCTTTGATTAAGACTTCCTTTTGCGGAACAGCTAAGCAGGACCCTTCCTCTGATGCTGACGCAGTTCTCACCCTGTTTCACTGTTTTTCGTTTTGTGAGAAGTATGAATTGTGTCCTCCTATGTCATTGAGAACCGCTACTTTACTACTCAAGCTGTTATTCAAAGTATTTTGACAATCCTCAACTGCGAAAGGAATCTAAAAACTGAATCTTAATTCGTTGGTGTATAAGCCGTGACCATTGGTGTGAACCACTCCAGCCAAAACGCCATGTAAGACAAAATTATTTTTCGACGATTTTTCGGTAGTAGAAGTAAAGTGCATATGTCATTTTCAAGCGTTGAGGAAATGTAAGGAATCAAAGCAAAGAATATATTTTGCAACCATACATTCACTCGTTAGACATGCGGATTGCGTGTGCCCCAAGTTGAAATGTGAGCAGAGCCCAAAAAACCAGATATCATGCTGTTCGTTCTACGAATTCAAGCAATTAACACGGTTTTCCTCATTCGCACTATTTCTAAATGTCATATTCAATGCAAAAAGTATGTTTGTTTCGTTTTGGCGAAGTTCCAATCATGCTTGTAGGAAACAGATGTTGCAGCTAAATTCCGAGCTCGCAGTTTGTCGAGCTGTGAAGCCATAACTTCCGGCTTGTAAGAAATTTGATGTCAGAGCAGCAGAACCTAATAATTACATATAGCAAAGGTTCCCCAAATGTTTACTACAAGGAATTAGTGGCATAACAGCATTTTGCCGATCGCAGTATCGATTCTCCGTCCTGGCAAACCATTAAGTCATCTTATAGGCTCATTACGCATCCAAAAAAGATCCAGTTCCTTCCTGGCACATTTGTGGCCCCTCGATGAGATTGGTTGGCCCTCATATCCTTTTCGTGAAAACTGTTCTGCGAGGGTTCCTAGTTAATGTCGTTCGAGACAGCGAGGTTCCGGAATTCAAAGGTGAGGCACCACCGGGTAGTGCCGCTATCGTACTCATGGTCCGAGCTTCAATCTTGTTCCGATACTAGCCCAAGTCATCCAAGATTTCATCTGGTCGATTCACTCAGCTTGGAGGATACATACGCTCACTTCTAAGCCTGCTGGTCCCACGATTTATTCAGTGGGTCATGTAGTATTCCAACGCCTCTGCGATCTTGAATAAAATTCGTATACCGATTGGAACTAAGAAACGGACCAGTGTTGAAAGTTTATGTTTTCGATTTTTTATTCTGCATTGAATACCGGTCAAGATCATTTTTGTTAGAGAATGGAGCAGGTCAACGTTTTTGTTTCTTTGTTTTTCAATTTGTTGTGCAGTCATAGAGCTGCTCTAGGTCAATGGCAGGATCCCTTTCGATAGAAGTGATCAGGTAGAAACAAATGAAGAACTGCTCCTGGTAAATTCTTTTTTTGGTTTAGGTTCTTGTGTCCACTTTCATAGTTATGGTGGCAATCGCTAGTGAGCCGTCAATGTCCCAGTGAATGTTTTCCATTAGATCAGACGGCTGATATCACACGAGAGGGTGTAGGCTTCGCTGGTCTGGGTTGTCCGATTCATGCTTTGTGGGATTTGGCGTGATATTTCCTTACCTTACTTCGAGGAAGAAATTTCTGCTCATTTCTGTTCTCTTTTGTTTTGTGAACAGGCAAGTTTTCATATTGATATGCTAAATATATGATTGTCGGCTGCTCATGAAGTGCTTTTGTGAGCAAATAGTGGAAATCAATAAATTGGAGGGACTTCGTCTTCAAGGCAGAGGTGACTTACACGATAAAAAGATGACAGCCTAGTCTGATTGATGTACCTTACAAAGTGGAATATTATGAACCTTAAAGATAGGACCGGCGCTGTGGGAAGAGAGGCTATCAAAAGGCGTCCTCTTTGTTCCTTCCATTTCCACTAATGGATCGCTCAATTCTTTTAGTAAAGTAATTCGCTTGACCATTGCGTCCCCTAGAAACAAATCTTCTGTAATTCCTTCTCACAGCATTGGCTGAGGAACTTTCTCGTATACAGTATTGTTCCAAACATTCCAAAATTTAATCAATCTGATTGTTGTGGAATGAACCGAAAATGTTTCTATAAATGACACCATTAATTTCTTGAGAGCAAAGAGTCATTGTTACAAAATTTATAGCAAGTTTTGAACATACCATTCTACCTGCTCATTCTTCCTTTCATACCATGTTCACCTAGAAAACCTAGATTGGTCGACTATAGTTAGATTGTGATGTGAAATAAGGAATTATCGATGGCGTAACTTTCAATTTTACCAAGTTTTTCGTTTTTCCCTGCGATGAAGATCAACTTGTGCCTGTTTAGGTAAACATCGATGGTGTGTACTATCCAGCCTTAGCTGAGAGGATTTCTAAGGATGAAAATTTCTTGGAGGTGGGTGTCTCATTTTCCATTTTCAACCAGCAAACAGGCTAGCTCGTGATATTTTTACCTACAAGATTTAATCATAGTTTTCATGTTGTGCTGTTCTTCTGAATGATTCAGAATCATGGCTGTGATATTTGGTAAAATTAATTTCAGACTTCCTATCCCGGAGATTGGCGTCCAAGGGAAACAGTAAATTTCGCAAATTGCCGAGTATTGCAAGCACAATCATCCCATCCGATTCACAAAGGTGATGTAATTGAGGCACTGTTTGAACAGACGAATGGTCAATCAGGATGGCAAAGAGCTTCGGTTCGCGAGATCAAGGTAAGTACCGCTGAAAATAGCACCGATCTTTTTGAACTTAAGCATCGGTATGAAATTTTTTGCTTCTCCTTTTTCTCTTTAGATGGAAACTCGCTTCTCATTCGTTTGAAGGAACTTCGAATAACTACAGAATATTGACTTTTTTATTTTATTTATGCTGCAAAAATTTGTCGTACATTTCAGTATCACGTTTTTGGTTTAAGTCTTCCTAGGCTTCTTCTTATATGAGACGTTCAGTGGATAAACTTGATTATATTCTTATAAGTTAGAGCAGATAAATGTGGCATAGTTTCCTTTTTAATTCGGTCAGCGTGAGTTTGATATGACAAGCAAGGATTCCGAATTACGGTAATCTTCGGCAAGAAATGCTATTATCGAGTAGTCATAAGTAATTACTTGGAACATTACGAGTAACTCTTTGCTGAAGTTCAGTAGTAAATAGAGGAACATTGAAGATGCCACCGTTTGTGCTTCAATCCACCTGATATTGATCACGTTTTTACGCTTGTCAAACATCGCATGGTCTAGCAGACAGCACATTGATTGAGAGCTTCTTTTTCCGTGGCTTATAGCGAATATTTCTGTTGGAATCATCGCCTCGTGAAGCTAATTTACAGTAGGTGTCGGGAGTTATTTTTTATGGGGTTTGCCACCTTGCTTCGTTTTTTTTCTGTAATTTATAGACAACGTCTTCTGAGCTGGATGTTATTTGCCCGCATAGTGAGCGCTTGCTGTAGATTGACAAGGATTGCACCCATATGTCATCTAGTCTTTTTTATCATGACAGGCACAATAATCGATCTGCCTGAATAGATTTTTAGATGCCCTATCCGTGCTCGATTTTTTATGCGTTATTTTGCAGGCCGATTTCATTGTGGTTGACTCGGTTGAAGGCCCACAGCATACCGATGTGGTGGCAGCCAACAAATGTCGCCATGGTGCCGTGTATACACAAGTTAGTGCTGCAGACTTGAGGACGGATTCCATAGGTACGGTTATACTATGATTTTTTTATTTTAAAAGTTTAAGCATACTAGAAAATATATTTGTGCTTTTTTGTCTTGACATATTATAAATGAAACGGATATTCCAATATAAAAATTCATTTTGGCATTATAGTGCTCATTCGAATCTAAGCAATTCTGGTTTGTTTTACAGTCGTGCCAGAAGATTTGGTTGATCACTTTTCAATTGATAGAAACCTGATGGAATTCCAAAACACGGTGAAGGACATCTCTATGAGCTTTGACAAGGTAAAAAGTTGTTTGATGGAAAGCCTGATTCAGCATTCCCAACGATTTGGCTTTCCAGGAATCGCGCGAAATCAAATTGACTTCATTTGGTACGATGTCACTAAAGAAAGCAATCGTTCTTAGTGAAATGTTCTTCCGAGTAAGTTTCATTATTCTTACTCCACTTTTAATCAAATTCACACATGGTTATTATGTACCCGGTGTAGGATGTGCGTTTGAAAAACCAGCTGCGTGCTCGAGCTGAAGAAGCCGAACGTCTACTCCAACACGGCTCCACGCGCAATGAAAAGGACTCACCTTTTGTCGACGAATTCGAGTACGACACATACGACTAGGGCTCGGTAGAAGTATGCTAAATAACTTGTGATGTGTTCAGGGTTGCAGCAGATTTGATGGGATTGGCAATCGGAACTCATGGTTCGAACATTCAAAGAGCTCGCAACGTGGAGGACATAGACGATATTCAGGTGTTTGAAGGAGGTGGTGATGGGCAGCCGTGCATTATCAAGGTTAATCAATCTATGTTTTTTTCACGTGCTTGTTTACAAACCTTTGAACTGAACATTCCTCCAAGTAACTTTTTCTTTCAATTCGTTGCTAAGTTTTTTCGCTTATATTTGCCAAGTTTCTTAGTAATCGTGCTTTAACCAGAGTTCTATAGATCTAACAGCTATTGTTTACTCTATATCAGCTCGTGAAATTTCGTTTTATGATCAAAGAAAAATCTGGGGGTTTTGCGATCCGGTTTACACCAGACTTGTATTTTTTCCAGATTTTTGCGAAAACAGCTGCAGCAGCACAAAAAGCACGTGCGCAGCTTGACTTTGGCGTTGAATGTGTGCACGTGCCACGATTCCTGGTAGGGAAATTAATTGGCAAAAATGGGAAATGTATCCAGGTTTGTGAGCTGTCAGTTCTTATGCCATGGTTAGTCATTTCGGACGAGTTTCACAATTTTTCTGATAAATTCGATTTCACATTAGGAGATCGTTGATAAATCTGGTGTGATACGTGTTCAAATTGCTGGTGAAGATGATGACAGCATGGATCCTGTGCCATTTTCGTTCACTGGCACAAGGTAAGGATTGCACTGTTGTGTTCATCTGAGTAATTCTTGTCAGGGATAGGTTTTTCAGGGAATCGACATCAATGGCTGCTTTTCTGGTAGATTTCCAGATCAACCACTTGAAAGAAACCGAGGGTCTGCGCAATAATATAGAAGACATGATGCGGCAAGCATTCAGCAATAATGAGAGATTCCAAAGAAATTCTGGTTGGACATGAATCTATCTTCTCTAATCCTTTTTCTCCCATTTCTAAAATTTAGTTACAGATGGTTACCAGCGTAACGGATATGGTGATCGTGGTGGATTTGATCGACGCGGTGGTCGTCGTGGTCGTGGTCGAGGTGGTAACTATCGCAATGTAGGTGCACAGAATGGAGGATCAACCAATGGAGGTTCGAGTACAGGAGGAAAGCCCTGGAGGTAATGATGTAGTTGATAATCTCATTAGCTGTTTCGTCATGAACATTCACTTCGAAAGTATCATAATATATTGGATTGTTTCTCAGGGGAGATGGTAGCCGATACAGTGACGAGGAGTGGTCTGGAGCTGAAGAAGCAAAGCATAGGGAGGAGCATGGAGATGAACAGGAACAGCGTCGTCAGGGGCGACAGCGTGGAGGAAGTGCTGGTGAGCGAGGCAGTAATGCTGGACGACGACGTGGTACGTAAAGATTTCCATTAATTTCACAAGAAGATAAATGAGTTAGAGCAAGTTAGAGCAAACCAAAAATTCGTTTTTTTCAAAATGGTCGAGGTAGAGTTGGAATTGAAATGTTCCGACTTACTTACAATTAGTTATTTGCTTTTTGTTAACACCATTGTTCAAACAAATGCTGAGTAAAGAAACTGAGTGTCTGGAATCTCATCGCTCTTCCCTCCACCTTTCTGTTTGTGTTACGTGAGACTTTCTAGCACTCCATCCATGAATGAGAGAATACTTTTTGACTGGTTATGACTTTCTGTCTTGCCTTTTTGTTCTCGTGTCCATTTTAACAATATATTTGATCTTCTATTTCACTCTTACTTTCCCTTTTACCATTTGATCTGATGTATCTACTTTGTTCATTGGTAATGTAGTTCAGCGTTTTTTCAGGTCGTGGAGCCTACAACAGGAATGGGGTTTGATTGCGGTGTTCGTATGTTCATTTCGATTCATGTTTGATTGTTCCACTATGTCGTGCCTAAGGTCTCCCGAACGATTACATGTAATTAATCTCATGTTCCGAAATTCATGCGGTACTACCGTCAGTGTCAGTGTGTACCCGTGGTCAACACGAAGTCTACGCTTATAATTTGTGCTCGCCCTGGTGTTCTTCTTTTCTTTCTTTTCCGAATGATAACGTGTTTCTGTTCGAAATATATTCTATCTATTTTATAAACTCGTCGCACACCCAGGTTCTCTCGTTCTGCGCTTTGTGATATCGTCCGTTAGATATACCGAAATCATATTATGCAATCATCATCATATACAAGTTCGGTTCACGTGCTTAATTTGAGTTTTGCAGTTACGAGTTTCGTTGTCCTATGTTTGTTTCTGGTTTTTTGATTACTATTAATATGAATATTACATGTTTAATTTAGAACTAACGCGTATGTGCTGCTTAATTTCGTAGAGAAAATCTGGTCGTATCCACATTCGGTATGTCGTAGTTATAATTCGAGTAATCGAGCGATTGAACCACACCTTCACAATGGCTCAAGAACTGAAATTTGCTCTTTTTCTTCCTTACAATGCTTTTGAATGAAGGTTTGAAGTTTGTGGAGTGTTTGGTTCAACGATTTCTGCAATATTCGTAAGCATGACTGGTGAACGTAGATGGCAGTTGTACGGGCAGCTATGGAAGCTGATTGAAGAAAAGTTATCGTGACCCATGTGTACCAGAAGAGGTGAAGTTATATTGATACTGCCAATTTTCAAATTCATAGCTCTTCTTGCAGCACGAAGAATGGAAACATCATTGAGTTGTATCAGTTGAGGTGACGAACCGATTCAAGTTGACGAAGTATAGGCGAAGGAATATAATCAAAAAAAAAAAGAACTCGCTAGCATAACGTCGAACTTGGAACTGTATCGGTCACTCTTGCACTCTTTCTGGGTGAACGGATGGTGGGAATTCTTCTCGAATTCCCGCGGCCAGCGGCAGTGGTTCTGTGGCGACTGCCGTATCCTTCAACTGGGAATTCAAATCTTTCCCTTCATAGCGCACAATTGAGTGCGGCGAGCGCGACACGTCATACCCTGGACCAGCAGATGAAGGAGTCAGTATCCCAGCTATCAAATCGAAATCAGTACTGGATCACCAAGTCCAACGTATGCAACGGATTGCTTTCTCGAGCTTCTGAAAGTCGCTCATCAAAAAACAAGAAGGAACCGAACAGGGAATATCATTGGCCACATTTCCGAAAGAGCCGTCCGAGAGGATTCAGCCTCTACTGTGGCCTATGGAGACTGCGATCTCTGAGGTTCATTGGATTTACAGCAAATATAAAAACAATTTCTTGTTTTCTTTATAAGTACAACAATGGATGCATTTGGTACACAGCCAAGTCCAGAGGCAAGAAATCAGGATTACCTCTAAGCTCAACTATTTTTTTGCAAAGTGCTTGTAACCTAATCATACAAAGGAAAACTTGCATGAAAACTACACCTACACTCACTTGTACAATATATGGGCCACTTAAAACCTAACAAGGACTTGTACTGAACCACTTTTGACAAATACAACAAACAGTATTGAGGGCATAGTCCCCGCATGAACGATCGTTAATATTAAGCACGATTGAAACAAAAAAGTATGACATTAAAACTCTCAACAGAAGAAATGTGGTAGCCACTGAGATGAGGAAACAGTTTGGAAAATTTTTGAAAATTTAATATAATAAAAAGGAAGGCAACATCCTACGGCAGCTTCGTGTCTTCCTTTGGCGGTGGTATCAACGGTATTTCTTCCTCTGCTTCTGCTACATCATTCAAGCCCCATAGGGACTCTAGATCGAATCGCCGACGTATTTCTTCACCCATTACATGGACCTAGAAAAGTGGAATCCCTTGCAAATCCCTCTACCTTGCTCAACGAATTCTTTCCCACAAGAAACCTTGAAAAGGACATCTTCAAAATGTAATTAAATACCTGAATCCTGCCTAATTCAATCTGGAACCAACCAAAGCTGTTCCGTATTGTGCACTTCCTCGGCTGAAATTTCTAAGTGAGGTATTGCTAAGCAAGAAAAAGGAAAAGTAAGGCAATTAACTGCTCAAAAAATGATGAAAACGGTGAAATGGCCAAACTGTTTTCTAAGTATCATGTACCAATTTTTAAAGAGATCCTAGGGTTCAAGGTCTAAGGGAATTGCCATCATAATTAACCTCCCTAACCAAATGTCAAATGCCTCATATGTTATCGTAAACGGAAGAATTAATTTACCTGTTCATCAGTCTGCTTTCCTGCTTTACGTAATATCTCGCATACCGCTATTCCATGTCGTGCATTAAAAGGACTGCAGATAACCTGGATATTTCGGAATGAGATGAAACTGCTAAAAAATGTGATGCCAATCCCTTAACAGAGGTGCCTACGTGAATGTGCCAACTGAAGTCGGAAATTATTTAGAACACTTTGGATCAATTAAAATTACCACTTTAAAGGTTGAAAAATGTCAACTCATGAATTCACTGATGAGATAAATTTCATGAGGAAATCCAGAGCGTTTTTACTGTATTGAAATTTATTTATTATAAATTATTTGAAATTTTTGCTTTTATTACATTATTGAATTAGGCTATTTAACAACTCATTTGGAAGATTCACATTACTGCAAATCTTCAAAGAAAGCAGGGCAAATAACAGCAAAATTATATGGAAAGACCCCACAGCTTCGAAAGGAATATAACGCTGCCGCGAAAATTTTTGGCCCTGTGAGCATTAACTGAAATATTATTCTCACCATTGTTTCCACAATACCTGGGCCATCTTCGCCCAGTGAAAGCACGACAATATCTCGAACCCGCTCTTGTCTCAAGAGAGCTACCACGTCATCGATTGTTTCAACACTGAAATTAAGCTAGTTACCACAAGAACGATTCCGTAACCAAAGACCACAAGAGTGGAAGAATGAAGTTACCAAAAGGTTTCTTCGATCTTCTCCTTTTCCACCGGGGCAACACTTTCTTCATCATCATCCTCCTCGTAATATTCTTCTATATACTGGTTGAAGTAATCCTGGGACTGCTTAATTCTGGCTTGCTGTGCATCCAGTTCTTCAGATGACGTTGAGTAACAATGAATGCTAAATTGATGTGAACATCATAGAAGTCGAAAAATGGATTACCAAATAAAGGACTCACGAGAAAATTAGGTGTGGAAAGAAATGGTCCACTGCATGATTACTGAGCAAAGGGGTTGGCATGGATCGTGATATCTTTGATCCTGAAAAAGACTCCAATGATACATCGAAATACATTAAACAAATACCCATATCAGGTTGATGTAGTGATTTTAGGCAGACAAAAACAGCCCACAAAGATTGTGCCCTGAAACCGTGAACAAGCCAAAGGATAGTCAGTGGAGAATGGCAATATGATGATCCAGAATGAAAAGCAAGAGTACAAAAAAAAACAAAGACGGCGAACTTCGAAGAAATTCTGAGTTCACCTCTGCTCCACAACCGGACGATACTTGGCGTCCACTTTGATAGTTTCAAGCTCATCTAGGGCGTCAAATCCGTCGATTACTCTAAAAAATCCTCAAGCTGACGATAGACCTATACTTCCTTGAAATGCGATTCAAAAAAAGTAAAGCAAATCAGAATCGTAGTTATAGGCTGCTCTGAGAGGGAAGAAACCTTCACTTACTTCCCAAAGACTGTGTATTTCAGATCGAGATGAGGCTGCTTCGCGTATGTGATGAAGAATTGCGATTTGTTCGTGTTTGGCCCGTTATTTGCCATAGACAGAGTACCACGGCCGTCGTGCTGGATCAGTTAGGATCAAAAAAGCCTAATCATTCGATTGTCACTATCAGAACTTACTCTGAGCTCCACTGAGAGCTCGTCTTCAAATGGTCCTCCCCAGATACTATTGCCACCTTTTCCAGTTCCCGTTGGATCTCCAGTCTGTACCATAAAATCCTTTATATTCCTTAATGACATTTGATTAGAAACGAAGATAATATTCCAGCTCAGGTGAAAAAAAAACGCATCTATACTAGTTTTTAAAGATAAATACCTGTGAAATATGTTATCTTTGTAGTAGTCGCTAGCACACAGAGCAAGAAAATTCTGGAAAAAAACAAACTTGTAAACAAGCTAATGCCAAATACAATAAATCGGCATTTTTGGGGACTTCCAGACACCAACCTCACAAGTTTTCGGACACTCTTGACAGAACAGTTCAAGCTTAATATCGCCTGCAGTGGTGTGCAACGTTACTGCCATAACATTTGTAAACTGAAAATAATTTGGAAAATAAAGAAATTTGGCTTGTAAGTATGCACATTATAATGAACTCATACATAGACCAGTTCAGCTAAAAGTAAGTTAAAAACGATGAATAAAATGTCCCAATAAACGAAAATTGAAATTAAAATCTCACTGGAGCGCACTTGTTCGATTTTAGCGCGATTGTGTTATCGAAGGAGCAGGTTATCGTGATCAGACATCCGACAGGCCGTATTTCGTAATGGAGGATGGACTAGCCAAGCTCCTTTTGGTATCTTCTATGCCTTGTCTACGGTGTAATTTCTGGAAAAAGTGTAAACAGTGTGTGTCCAATGGTTAGTGAAGAAGTATCTTCTCTCTCCTTATGTTGGACGCTTGCAGTAACTTCTAGCCAACATCAATCCTAGGTGGAATTTCTCAAAGCTTTAAGGGGACATTTGGACTCAGAAATTCGCTGTTTTCTATCAACCAAACATTCAAAAAATCATTTCTGGTTTTTGGCGATACGGTAATAGAGCAGGGCTTTCTGTATGTTGAATAACCTCATTACGATGGCGAAGAAAGCTTCATGAGTAGTACTCATGGCGATGGACCGGTGGAACCTGCAGAGTTGCAAAAGCTTTTTTCAATCAGATGTCTGCCACACCTTCACTGCTCGAAATTGCCCTAAATAGTCCCAGAATACGATGTAGCCTTGTAGGTCTTGGGTACTCGTTCACTCACAAGCCAACCTGACTCACGAAATTCCAAAATCTGCTGTTGTCTTATGACAAAAACTTTCCTCTTAATGGAAAGGTTGAATTCTGATGTGGTCGGGCTGCACATTTTAGTGACCCCTCACGATACCGATATGAAGCTTCTATCTTTGGAGTTGAATAAGAACATTGCAACTCCCAAGGGTTTTATCTGATTCAGAATGTTTATCAATGGTTTTCGTAAACAATCCGTCATCGGCCTTCACCACAAGACGTCAAAGGAGAAGGACAAAACGGAGATGTCAGCTACCTTTGTGGATTCATCATCGTCTCTTTTTTTTCTGAACCAAGGCAGCAATGAAATTGGAAGAGGGAGAAATAAACGGAAGGATCAAGGCTAGAATTTCAAGGAGCTTGTCAGCCATTCGATGTTCTCCAGCCCCAAAGTAATAATGAATCCCATGATTTTGTGGGAGGCATTTAACGATTTCTTCCTCTTTGACCTTTCTTGTGATAGCAAGAATCGATGTTTTCTAAAATTACTTGACATCCATACTTCCTGAGAATTTTTCTAGTTCAACTATATATCATCTATATATTACACGGAAACGAGTGTCCCTGATTACATCAGAGTGCCAGGCTCACGGGATGACTGGTTTGTCGACAGTCTCCACGCATGGTCGACGAATTCCATGAAGCAGATCCCGTTTGAGAGTCCATACGCAACTGTCCGAAATAATCCCACGGCACTAACATGGACCAGTCATGCCCACGAGCCCATAAGTCTCGGTTTGCGAGGCGATTTTTCAGTCGTTAAGCTGATATCTCTCGGATACAGTATATAAACGTGGTGTGCAATGACCAGTTACAGTCGTCAATCATGCCCAACAACTGGATTGGTAAGTTCTTTCGATTGTACTCACATGCCATTTTAAATATTGTATATATTTACTATTGAATTCATTATAGTTATTCTGCTGTTTTCTTCCGTAACAGCTCAGTACTACGGTGGTTACTATGGAAGATACGGTAAGTGAAGACTATAATCCCGGAGCAAATTGACAGTGTGCTTTATTCTTCAGGAGTTTCGAGAAGTTAACTGCTAGGTTATTAGGCCGTCATAAGATTGTCCTTTTTTTGAGGACAACCCTGAAGTAAGGACTAAATATCCATCCAGACGCAATAGTTATTCTGCTGTTAAGCTGACTAAGGGTTGCATCCCAAAATGGCCTTAAACGACGATTAACATTTTGTTCTTATAGTTCCCCGGTGCGGGGAGGGATGGGGACGGATCCTTGAAAGTTATGTCGTTACAAGGGTCAACCCACCTCAGAAATCTTTTACCAGTAATTGTCATAAGGGCGGAATGGGAAAGTGACAACAGGCCCGGTCACCAGGCTCATAGAAGGCAAATAGATATCCCTCTCAACTCGACTCCCTCTCCCTTCTCGAACTTTGTGATATCAAACCTTGACTAAGGCGAAGGCGCTGTAGTGGCAAGAGGAGGTTTACCACTATCGCCCATGCATGGTGCGGAGATCGGATCTCGGATCCTACACCCATATCATAACCAAGCTTTCCATTCCTTCAGGGTCAGTTAATCGGTACCAGACTCGTCGGAAGAGCGAAAACACTCAAATAGATCGGTTGAACACCTCATGTCAGGGTATAAAAGATAGTTAGATACGCCTCCAAAACGCCACTACAATTCTGAAGGGGACTCGAATGCTTAGCGCACTTCATAACGAGATTTTCAACGGTAAAAGCCTTATCCCTATCCTTTAACACTTGACAAATTTGTACTTATTAGTCGCGATAGGAGCTTATTATCAAATTAATAGCTTCTGATCCCGGCTTGTCAAGCTGTGAGCATGGAACTCTTTATTGATGGCAACTGTAACTGTACAGATTTCGCCTTAGAAATGTGTATTGTTCATGTCCATTCAATGTCGCTTTTTGCCATTGCTTTTCGCACTCTGTTACAGGCTGTTCTCGTCTATCTTCTGGCCGCATTCCACCACCTATTGGTATGGCTTCTGTTCGGTTAGATGCTTACTTAGATGTGTAGTAGTAGTGTGCTAGAATCCGAAAAGAATTCCGATTTCCAACTCGAAGAACTGAAATTCACAGATTGAGTATCAAGTGGATAAAGCACGGGCAAATGGATAGAACAAAGGGCTTGGGTACACTTTCTCTGACCTTTGCTTTCATAAGGAAAGGATAGAATATGATCAAGCACCGTCTGAGAGGTTCATGGAGTGGAGAGGGATGGCTTGAAAGAGGAGCCCAGTGATATCAGGAAACCTGCTCCAAATTCTGGGAACTCTATCTATCTTCACCCAACTTTTATTCATGATATTAGCTCCAGGCAGCTTGAATACAGAAATCGGAATTTCGCTTCACGCTTTACTGAAGTCATTGATTCGTGGGTGCTTCTTAACCGAGCTCAGGCATCTTCGCAATTTTGTTTAAGAAAGATTCTAGAAAACTACTCTGTTGTAGTGATAGGAATGTACCGTAACGTCAAGATACCCACGATTCCGTTCTCGAAGAAGAGCAGAACGGCTGATTCAATCGCTCGCTAGAGGAATCACATACACAATGCTAGAGCACGTTTCCGCTTCGCTACCGCACGCCGATGCTTTTGTATGACTCATGACGGGGAATGTGTTCAGCTCCGGAAAGCCTTAGCTAGATGTTTTGGTCCTGAGTCTTGGCCAGTTGGTCAGCAGCATGAAATTTTGCACAGTAGAATTACTGTATTGACTTAAATGAAATTATTATTTATTTTCAGGGTGGGGCACACCCATGACTGTTGATCCTTACAATGCCGCAAATGCGTACGCCTTGAGAGGGTAAGTTACACAGCGTCAGCTCTTAAATTGAGATCGTAAACAGTGAAAACAGGCTGACAGTGAATTAATTTTGAGCCATTGGTCTCCCGCGGAAAACTGTCTAGAGAGGCCGATTAAGTCCTGATGAAGTACAACGAAGAAGTGGTCAGTTCGATGGGACCAGAAAAGCTTGAAGGACCATATACTAAACATTCCATACATAAATACTTACCTTGAGCTCATACTCAATGATCAGGAATCAATCAATTTAACCATATGACTGTTTGACAAATCCTCGGAGAGGGAAATTTATAAAGCCATCTTAATTACAGAGTAAGACAGCACTCCGCTTTCCCACGACATGTGCATAATAAAAGTTTGCGGAGATAGGATCAAAGTGCAATATATCGTATAGATTGTATAGGTCAGGCAGGAAGCTCCAGAATCGCACGCTGATTCGTCACGTCAACTTCTTCTAACTGAACATATCTGCTGCGCGCTCTGCTTGAGTTTCGAGGGAATGCAGTTTTCAGAAAGAATGGGTTCTTTGAAAGGTCTAATCTCTTCGGACAAAATGTAGCTCTTAACTCTCTCACCGTGGCCCCGAGGAACCTCTCAGTATGTATGTGGGAATTTCCCTTGAAAGTGACTAGATGTTCTAGCTTCGCGCTATCAAAAGATCCCACTGTGCCGAAGGGAAAATAACTGTTAGATCGAAATTTCACAAAAACAGTCGAGCTGTTCGACTTTAGAATGGTTGTCGATCCAGCCGTCAGTGGAGTGTGTGCCGACACGAATATGCAGTGCCCCGTTTGGGCGAGTACAGGTACGCTGATCTATAAATAGTGCTTATTGTGGTCCTTGTGGAGTAAATCGCAATCCATGTTTAGGCCAATGCGCAACGAATCCATTGGTGATGCGTCGAATGTGTGCATTGTCATGTGGTACCTGTGGTATTGGCCTGGAATACGGCATGGGTGCAGGCCTGGGTAGGGGTATAAGTGTATGCAATTTACACAGTATATGTATCTCTGGATTCTTGTTTTGCATCACTGCAGTTTACACCACTTTACCCTTTGAAGGAGCGCCGGGACTCGGATATGGACTAGGAACTGGTCTTGGAGCTGCTGGACTCGGATATGGTGGAATGGGTTTGAATCCGTTGGCTGCTCCGCTACTTGGCAGGAGTATCTACGAACAAGGTTAGAGGATACGATCAACTCCAGTGTGATCGTTTTTGAAAATTTGTCTTTATTTGGATCAAGAATAATGCGGTCCGATGACCGATATGCATCTTTTTACTTGTGTGAAGCTGAATTTAGTCCCTTAACGGGCTCCATACTACTGATAATCCTCAGAGGGGAAGACGAAATTTTAAAATATAACTGAAGGCGTAAAACGGATCTTTTAAGGAATCTTGAGGTCACCTCCAAGATCGACGATTTATCCTCAGAGTGTGAAGAAGGACAAGCTCAGCTCACCTCGTAATTCGGCATAAAAGAGTGAGTCAGTTATTTTAAATTGCTGCCTTTCTAGAAGTTGATATTTGGGAAGAACTGGCCGAATTAAGGTAAGAAAGTTGTGCAGTTACCCTCGAATAATGTCTTCATTTTTCAGATAGTGTTGACTCTTCGGATGGTGCCCTTTATTCCTAGGGAAAGACAGGTTGCTCCTCACAGTGTGCTTACGACTTTTTCTCCTTGTACAGCAGCAACCACAGGGATCCCTAATGTATAATTTGCTTCATGGTGTTATATAGGTACCGATCTCTATTGTGTATAAATGATTACTCGGTTCAAGTAGTGAAACTGTTCGTTTTATGTGAGTTCTTCAAACCAGTCAAGCTCAACAGTTTGGTGCTTGAGGAGCAGGTGAGTGACAATGTCAGTGGCTCGGCGATAGTGGGTGCCGTCTGTTCAGACTCAAAATTAAGCATACCCCTGTGGAGGAGCGTTTGCAGAGGAATGAATGGGGGTGGAACTTTTCTGCGACGCCAAGAGATAGTCACAGTTGGCAAGAAGGTCTAGGGATCCCTACAGAATACAAATCCGGTGGAAACGCAAACATTCAAGAGGAGCCAACGAATTTACGGCTGTGAATGAAAGTGAATACATGCTGAGATAGAGCAGAAAAATGTAGACCTAATGGCCACGTTATGCTCAATGATCGTCAAGACCTTTTTTGCAGCGAGTTCTGATATATCAGCACTTTCAAGAGAAGCCAGTGCTTTCCTTCTGCCATCTATTTTTGACTCCGGGATAATCTATTATGTGTGAGAATTTTGTTGGAAAAATCCTTGCATCTGGTCCGCCATTGACGTCATAGAACAGATCATTAACAAACACCAGATGGCGCTAGAGGCGAGGGTGCAAGTTGCAGCCAACAGGATTTGTAGAAATGTGAAGGAATGGAGAAAACCATATGAAAAGGAACAGAGGGCGAGCCTGCCCTGCTAATGCTGATTAAAGATTGTCGAAGGTGCATATCAACGCCGGCCGGCTACCTCGAAGATCTTGAATACTTCGAAATCCGCCCTGCAAAAATGGTGAAATCCTTGCAAAACGTATCTATGCATTCACTTCTATTCCTTACAGTTTGTCACCATCTTAGTCCAAATAACTGCTTGAAGGGATCACCCCACCTGGTTGAGGGTTTTTCTCCCGACCTGTTTACTTCGCGGGTGCTCTCTCGAATAGGGGTCAAATTCACGGCTCATTCTGACAAAACCTAATCAACACTTAGTGAACGATCTTTCTCTATATTGACCATTCCTACTTCGAGATATTCATAAATCTATACTGAAAAATCTGATGCAAACACGCTCCCCCAGCTCATCGAGTCTGCGAGCATGGTATGGCGAGAGCGGGGTGGCTCGTCGGTGCTGCTGCTTATAGTTAAATTCAGCCAGTAAATATCAACACAACAGAAAAGAAGCTAGTCCTATCACAAATTTAAGTTTTCAAAGGACTTTCAGTGATGGAAAGTTTAGCTTCGACAGTTCAAATAACGGCTTCATTATCTCTGGAAAAAGTGGCGATCGTGTGGATCAGGGAGGACGTGTACATAGAGTGATGGGAACAAGAAGACCACAATGGGGTCCGATTGGTTTCATTGAAAACCAGGAAGAACCTGAATCGAGCCCCATTTATGTGCCTATTAGGCCATCGCCCTCTGGGACCGAGAAGCTATGTTCACTAAAATGGAAGGACAGTTCACTAAAGGTTGATATAAAGTGGTTCCGGTAGGTGACCGAAATGGTAATTATCTCATTGTGATTGATCAACGGCGAATTTTCTATTTTTCAAATGAAAGTCGAGAAAAGGATAGAGACAGGCGATAGTAATGGTACTGCCCCTTCAGTCGCCGCCCACTTAACCTAGGCTCAACTGCTGCTTGCATCCCTTCACTAACCCACGCTGTTTCGCCCTTCCCGAAAAAAAAAGTATACTTCTCACTTCCTGCACTTAATCTTCCTTCTTTGAAAAAAACCCTAGCAAGCATCTATTTCCTAATGACTTCCTTGTTTCTTGTCTCTTGTGAATTCCTCATCGATTCTGAGTGGATGCTGATGCTTAGTTGTGCAGTTTTTTCACAGAATCTTATCTCATGAGTCACCTCATGCGATAAATAAGTGAATAAACAAACAACTATGTATTTATGTAGTCAGAGTAGACGCACTTGAGTTTTCGGCAGATCTTTCGGGAATTGTTCTGGATTTTTCTTTCAAGATCAAGGCATGCCAAGGTTGATACAGCCACTCAGACGCTTGTCACACTCGTCCATCAATGCCTCATCGCGAACGGGCGTTTTAATGTTGTGCAACCTCATCGCCATGGATTCGGTTTCGTTTTTGAGTCATGCTGATCCATCGATCTGAAAGTTATGTCCCAAAAGTTTCTCACTGATTAGTGTCATTGAGCTGAGCTTTCACCCCTCCTAGCTCATTCTCATTCTATTTCTTTACTGATCATACTTTTCCTCTATATACGATCTGAAGTTTGCAAGTGCTCCTGCAGGATCAGCTACTCCTTCTTCCTCCCGTAGACTTTTCCATTCCCTCTTTCTCCGCGACTGTTTATTCACCTATGAGTCTTGTTACATCTCTTATTTCTTCGACACTTCAGCAGTTGCTGCAGGGAAAGGAACTGACAGGCTATCATAATGATATTCCGAGTCAATCTAGCACAACCAATCTAGTCTACTAGATACCTGACCGTGTGATATTCTCACATTTACCTCCCACTACATGCAGCTATTGCGAGAGTTCCTTTTTCTGAACTGAAAAGCACTATCGCGGAAATCTTTCCTATAAAGTCAGGAAGTGCATCGTGCCCACCCAAATCGCTGAAGTAGTTGGGAATGGTTTAAAGTGAGCAAGGAATTCTTGAAATTCCGTAACAGATCGCTACTGCAGGGCTCATCCTGTTTATTTTGAGTGCGGCTGTCATAAAAGTCATAGTTGTCGATAATGGTTACTGTTTCCAGCTGAGTGAAGCAAAACCGGTAATTATCTTCTGCAAATGCCGCAAGAAGAATCCTCCCAGTCTATGATTAGGTCCGTTAAAAAAGTCGTTTCCGCTCCATCGCCGACATCCAGATGTCTGAAAAGGGTTTTCTGCTGAGCAATGACGTAAGCAGAGGGTTTATGAGCTTCATAAAATATCCAGAGAAGATACCGCTCACGTATTTAATTTCAGTGTGTAATGGAAGATGAAATACGATAGGGTCGGACGTTAGAAGCTGTATTTCTAGACAATAAAAACATTCAAAACAAGAGCTGATTCAGTTGCACACAAGCTGTTTGCAGAACTTCAGAAAAAAGCACGACTTTGCAGCATTATAATGTTTTTCAAAAGATCTGAAGTTTGCTGAGAAATGGGACCGACCAAGACGGCCATTAGGTCCAGACTCCTGTATGAGAGAATTTTGCGTTAATCTTCTTCCACCTCTTGGAAAGGCTGGTCTTTTTATCGTTGTGGTTAGAATAGTGCAGCTGGATTCCATGCAAACTGCAATTTTCTGAAACAAATAAACGCTGTTCAATCCTGACCTAATGACACGCTAGGTGTCTAACCATCTCCTCTGCCATATCCTACTGATGTATGACTTCGGAAAGCTATTCTATGGGCATTTTATTTCGAATGGCATGCATGCTTACATGCTTCTTGAACTTCCGTTTTTCTAGAAAGAAAAACACGGTATTTCCGTGCCCACTCAAATCTGATAGCTGGCTGAAGACCGAACGCCTTCCTGGAGAACTTGAACAGATTCAGAATTTTTTGATGCACTTAGATGATTCTAGGACGTTTGACAGCACTGAACCCCAGTCAACTTTATCGTCTCCAATGAATCCCTAGAAATGTTCGACAACTGTTAGTCAATTTTCTGTCCAGTGCAGTTGCCCTCCCAAGTGAATATGACTCCAGAAAGCTTGGGTAAAGCATGGCCATAAAGAAGGTTAATTATCAGAATCAATTCTTCCTCATGTCGTTCCGCTGCCCATCTGGTCGGTAGGTGGGGTATGCGGGGTGTAGTGGTGAATCCTGAGTATACGACCACTCCGCACCCCTCGCCCTACTCCAAATCTTCTCCTCAAAGCATTAACTCTACTTTTATAAGTAAAAAAAACATGGAAGTGGACATGTAGGTAATGAGCCGACATTATTCTTTACCCTGCTCATTCACTACTTTCATTTTTCTCTGCCCAACATCTTGTTGAATAAGATCTTTTTTGTTTACTGCCCTCCATCAGCTCTTCTTTGTGGCTTTCCCTCAACGTAATGATCCCAGGAACCTTTCGATTTGCGACTACCCTTCTTAGTGGTTTTCCTCAAGCCAGCGAGGTTTTAACTTAGAGCTGTGCTTAAAGAAAATCTTGCAGTCCAACTCCAGATCTACACCACTTTCAGTTCAGCAATCTACCTGGGCTCACTTCTTGCAATGGGTAAGCTGTGCCATGAGCCCCCCCCCCCCCCCTCCTAGGTTTTCATTCGCAATCTGGCACTTATTGGTTAGTGTTCCGTCAATCTTAAGAATGGGTAAGGTGGCATTTGAGTCATTGGCAGTGAGACGGTTCTGTACCTTAAGACAGCCCCCATAGACATTAAGATTTGACAATGCACGTAGGTAGCTGAGCTTCATTGTCACTGCCATCGCTCAGTGGAGGCAATGAAGTGTGACAAGTCATTATATGTTCTATGATTTTTCAAAATTTTGTAATACTAATTGAAACGACAGCTGTTCAAGTAGGATGTGTGCGTGGGAACAGCCCCATCGCCCTATCCGACGAGCCTTTCGCTCGGCTCGCGTTCTGGCAAAAAGCGACCGTCACCATTTTCCTCCTCCACAACATTAAGTCCTGCTGACACTGATCTTTTGACTCTTTGCCTTTGACTACTCAGTTAGAGATCTACCCATTTTCAAAAAGCTAACATCAGTGACATAAGTGAAGTGGTTACATCGCTAGAAGGAGATTTTTGGAGTAGAAGGGCCTTTCAAGCCAAAGTTTTGGTATGCTCATTTTTTTCTTTAGCGCTAGACAAAGACTTTTTCGCATTTTTTTCTCAACTGCCTTCTGCGGTCTTGCAACCCTTCAAACAGATGCTCCACCAATCCCCCTCCCCTACCATAGATTTACTACGGTCTTGTTGGAGCTGCCGATTCGTTCCTTGCATAGCATGGCTCTGGAAGTATTTAGCGAAATGCATAATACCCATCGAGGAGTTTCGGAAATTTCGTTTCCTCACTTGGTCATTTTAAGAAGTTTCGGAAATAGCTGGTTCATATTTTCAGCACACGATCTATATTTTCTGGACGTGCTCTTTTCTTTTCCTAGGACAGGATGTCCAAAGAACAGATATGCCTCTTTTCAACCCCTAACATTTCTTATCTCCATCTTATCTCTTATTTCATGTTACATATGATATTGAAAGACCAGAATTCACTTATCTATCGAAGGGATGTTTCCTCAAACCTCGATGCACCAGGATCAGATTATTATTATTATTGATGGTACTGCAGCTGTCGCTTTTTTCATCGGTTTGGTGCAAATACCTTTCGAATCGTTATTGATATCAAATTCTCTCCTCTTCCATCAGAATAACTCATGAATCATCTATGCTTAACTATATCGACGAGATTGAATAAGCTTCTCATCACCGCCTCTCCATGATGGAGAATTTCTGAAAATTAGTCTGAAATTTTCTAGTCAAAACACATATTAAGGGTGACCAATAATCTTATTAAGAAAGATTGCTATAATAATGAATAGCTGCCATGACTTTAGTAATGACTCCAAAGTCGGAGCAGGTTCTGCTCCGTGAGGCAGTGTACCTCCAACCGTCTCCTAGGTCAGCACGACACAGGAAAATCAGGACCTGATCTAGGTAGTTTGAGAGCGCCTAATGGGTTCCGTTGAAGAAGTTTCTCGACGCCGTGGATGTGGCACATGCGATACGGCAGAGAAGCTTCAGTACCATCGTAACCCGATAAAAGGATAAAGGATCAAGTTTTTGGCGTTAATCAATCCCGTCTGAGGGATGCGCCCCCGCACTCGACTTCCGTTCAGCATCGTAGTGGCGTAATGAGTGCGTATGTGGCCTATACAATGACTTGCGGTGGCCAGCCGATGTACAAGTCAGTGCTTTTATCCTCCCAGCCGAGTCTGGTACCAATTCACCGACCCCGGAGGGACGGAAGGCTTGGTTGGCCTAGGCGGACATCGATCCTGGATTTAAACTTTATCGTAACCCGATAGCGATCAATATTCATAGCCTTGGAATGACTTGGAGGTATGGAGCATAGATATAGCGTTCGGGGTCATCATCAGTCAGATTATGGGTCTCATCCGGGAGAAAAGCTGTGTTTTTCTGACGGCCTTATATTTTCAGCTCATGTTTAAAATCACTCAACCTGACTATCAAACTTTGAACTATTACCTTCTAATAATCAGCTGACAGTTTCATCACCTTATTATTCATTAAGCGAAACACCTTCACAAACAGCTGTTTCTCGAATGATGTGAACTCCACAGGAGTCCCCGGCAGTGTTGACTTTAGTTTTGAGTGCTCCTAGCTTCTTCTCTCTCATTCGCCTCGACGTAAATCCGTTGATTAAGTGTCGATTACGATTCTTTGAGAGACCCATGCTTCGAACTTCGAATCTGCTTTGGACATATCAGGTCCTGGGGGTTCAGACGTATCAGCCAGTTGTGAAAAACTTCTGACAAATGCCCACTTGATGAGAGGATATCAATCATCTTGACATTCACATTTTTCAAGACTTTCTTTACAACCTGATGGCCTGACGTCAACCAGAAGATACTCACAATCACGTCCCTGGATTCTCCTCGCTCGAAGCCTGCAAGGCAGATCATCCTCTCAATCGAGAACTCCATGAATAATTCGGGTCATAGGACCGTTTAGAAGATGTGAGGTACCATTCAATGTTGAGAAGCCACTCTGGCTACCAAGGGCCTCAATTACCGCTTCTATCTCAACACTGTCAAAGGCCTTTCTCAAATCGACGAATATGGTACCGCAGTTTCTTATCCTCTCAGTTCTTTTGTCTCTGTGGGGAAGGTTCATCACCCAAAACTTTCTTGGAGCTCTGAATGCCCGCATGACGGTCCTTCATCCGACGGTCTGCCAGGGTTTGTAGACTATAGTGCTTATGAACTAACTCGTGATAAAAATAACATAGTGACAAGTGCAGCAGCTATCCATCCATGTCAACGGACTGCTTATTTTCTGATATTTCTTGATCATTAAGGTACCTTCATATTTAAACATGAGACAAAAATGTTAAGCCATAGTATTTATGCAGCAGGTTACCCGGCGCGACATTCTATGAAAACGATATTCATCCAAATATTTTTGATGAGTCCGTGTTGAATTTACGAATTATTCCGAGAAAACCCAGAAATACAGCGTGATTTTCCTTTTCAGATACAAATCTTGTATTTAATCCTATTTTTTGTTGCGATTTTGTCATTTCCAGTACCGTACTCACAAAAATATGCTACTGTATCTTATTTACGTCATTAGTATGTTGCTTGTTATTGCGGATACCAGGCAAGGTAATCATTTCTCTTTTCTTTTTGACGGAAGATTGGCCTTTAAATTAACACTTTCTTACCTTTCAGCTTTTCCACCTGTTACCATTCTAGCCGATATAAATATTGATTATATAACGAATTTCGACTTCACCCGGCAAGTAAGTCACAACAGATAAAGAGTTTGGGTGGGGGCGATTTCTTTCAAATGTCGGACATTGTCCGCGATCGACGGTCCCTGTGGAAAACTTATGTTAGTCGCACTGGGTTTTGAAAATGTGAGCGAGGGCGTGAATATGAGAGAAGAAGAGAGCCAGATTTGAGCTTCGTTTAGAACAAACTGTACAACGGGACAGCGATGTCTAGCTTTTTTGTCGCCTCTACTTACACAATATTTCGCTTATTTTTGCTTTCTACTATAAGTTAGTCATTAGAAGACTTTAAAAGACAAGCCGCATGTTTCCCAAGCCCTCTGTACATTACCCTGGTGTGCGGTTGTGGGGATTAGTTTGACCAAAGAAATTTGAGTCTTCAGAATGGTCAGACAAGAGGATATCCTATTACGACAGCTGCTTGTTCATCGTTTTTATTCATTTCCTGTTGTTTTTGTTCATGAAATGGCTTTCGCTCAGACATTCGATATGATAGTTGATGTCGATCGTCAGTTGAAAGACAATCGCTTCGCTCCGAATTTTAACAACTACACAGTGAAAGAGATATTTCGCGAGATACGGTTTGATGACGTTGAAAGCCAATTCATCGGCGACGTCGAGTACATTTTCAAAGGTTCCAATGTGACAGGAATCAGAACAAGGTTCGCATTACATTCTGATTTGACAGTTTTTCATGTGAAACCTCGAGAGTCTTCGCTACAAGTTGTAAAAGTGCAGTTTTTGTAGTTCTAGACAATACTGGTATTTAAGAGACATACTTCCAGGGAGAGACTCACAGTTCCGTGTCATTTTTCGCAGAACTTTCCATTTGACAGGCATACTTGTAGAATAAAACTCATTTCGAGTAAGTTATTTTGAAAAATCTCTTTGATATTCACATGTTCTTAGCAAATTGGTCGTATGATTGGCACTTCCTCTATTACGGACACGAAAAATTTAGTAGGTTCACCTTAATCTACTCGNGTGTCATTTTTCGCAGAACTTTCCATTTGACAGGCATACTTGTAGAATAAAACTCATATCGAGTAAGTTATTTTGAAAAATCTCTTTGATATTCACATGTTCTTAGCAATTTGGTCGTATGATTGGCACCTCCTCTATTACGGACATGAAAAATTTACTAGGTTCACCTTAATCTACTCGAATTGGCTGGTTACCGTTCGTTGTGAGACCTGTCTGAAACTTTTTCTATCGAACAGAATGCGTTAGAGCCCACCCCCTCCCTCGCCGTCTTTCCGAGCCCAGATTCACCCTCGTTCGCCTCCCTCCCGTTCTAGAACAAAAGAGAGAGAGAGCAATCTCTTACAACAGGGGCTAACTCAGCAGCGGTGCTTCCAATGCGGGAAAAAGGGTGGTAATTTATTAAATCACTCCGGATGATGGCTTTGTGTTGTAAATCCTACTAAGCCTATAGTAAAGAACAAAGTATTCTGTTAGAAGCATACTGGTAACAATGAAATGATTCAGAGTTCAGGAAAACTCCCATCTGATCTCTTGTTACTGACATGGAGATCACCTCCGCACATGTCCACAACGTCGACGAGTACACCATATTTTCTTGTCGATGAGGTGGCACAATTCTTATCGCTGTATTTATTTTTTGTTTCTTTTCTGTCCTGCACTGTAATCATAACATACAATAAAATTCATCTTACTTCCAGATAAAGCCCAACACATGCGATTACAAAAAAAGCATGCCTGCAGCATCATCGCTGAGCTCGACCTTCGGTAAGTTGATCTTCTTTGTTGACTATGTGCCCTAGGGATTTGAAAGTTATAAGCAAGTAGTTCGGGCCGAGATTTGCCCTTGCTTGAATCAGTTCTCCAATCAGGTCTGCTTGTTGGAACGCCCAAAACTAAAAGAGCGGACATACAACTCGAACTTCAGACAGTGCTTTGCTCCTACAGCTTCTGCTTCTTTGTCGTGGAATTCTGCCGTTCACGGCGATTCATATCCTGGGATAAACCTTCTTTTCGTATTGAAAACACTAAAGTTTGGGGTATGAACGCTGTTTTCATGGCCTGACCCGGCTATTGTCTCTATTGTAAGTCTCTATTGTAAAGTTTGGGCCCAGCTGTGGGGAGCTGCTGCTTCTTATGGACATTCTCTTGATCATAACAACCATCAGAGCTCTAGATAAAGCTCCTTTTTTTCTGATGCGTTGTATTGTGTAATATAATTGAATGAACATTATTACTGTAGATAAATTCTAATTACAGTAACCCATGCATGCTTGGCAATTCGTTTTGTGTTCACTCGTTCATTGTGCTTGGTGTTCTATCGCTTCTACATGCCATCATCGATGGCTCTGTTCTTATCATGGTTGTCATTCTACGTCAGTAGAACGGATCTCGTCAGTCGACTGCTACTCGTCTCATTCTCTTTGTCTTTTCAATTAGTTATAGTAAGTCATTTTTTTCTTGACTGATCATTACGTATACCAGAGTAGTGCTAAATAATGGCTCGGTATCCAGCGGATTTCATGGAGGGATCCAGCAATAATAAGTGCTCTGGTAATCAGAGGCTGCAAA